AAACTTTTAATGGAAGTAATTATTGATGATTTAGTAATTTTTAAAAAAATATGATTTCAGAACGAGGTATTAGAATCGGCTCTTCTTTCGCTATTGTCAAAAGAAGAAGAAGATAAAAGTAAATATTTTTGCCTGTAAGTATTATTATTATTATTATTATTTTTTAATTTAAATTAAATAAGAGAATCGAAATTAATAAATTTCACTCGTGGTTTATAAAATATTTGTAAATTTTAATTCTCCGGAGGTGAATTTCCGGTCAGTATAATTTTATAAAACTTTTCTTTTGTGTAAAATTATACACATATATATATTTTTTTTTTTTTTTTACTCGAGAAAATTTTATTTTTGATTAAATTTTTTTTTATTGTAATAAATTATTATTATTATTATTATTATTATTATTATTATTAACGCCACGGTTTTTCTCTCTATCGGGAAAACAACAATTTTTTTTTTTTTATAAACGACCAAGAGAGAGAGAGAGAGAGAGAGAGAAAGGAAGAAAAAGAAAAAAAAAATTCCATTATAAAATTTTTCTCTTAAATTTACCAGGCGGCGCCGCAGTTTTCACTTTTAAACACGACAGGATCGTGACACCCCCATACCCCCCCATACCCCTCATATACCTAAGCATCATCATTTCCAGGTTTCCGTCACGAATACGATTTCTCAACGAATAAAAATGGCGGCGGCGACGTTGATATTTCAACTTGTACGATTTCCTCATTCGAATTTTTCTTTTTTTTTGTTCTGTCTACTTTTTGTCTTCTGGTCAAACTTTTTAGTAAATTTTAATTAATTTTTAATTCTTTTTACTCCATTTTATGACAGAATAATTAGTATAAATAATAATAATAATAATAATAATAATAATAATAATAATATAAATGTCTTTATTAAAAAAAAAAAAACCCATCTGGTTAATTTAGTTAATCATAAATTAATCTGTTTATTTTTATATAAAAAAAAAAAAACGCAAACAAAAATAAGGAAAAACAAAAAAAAAAATACATGTTTAATATTTTTAATTAAAAAGTTTTTTTTTTTTTTATCAAGGTATTAAATTTTTTATTAACTTCCTTTTAATCACATTTGACCTGTTATGAAAATATATTAAAACTTTTGTCGTGTCAGTTTTTTTTTGAAAAAAGAGTTATTATATAATTTATGCAAAAAAAAAAAAAAAAAAAAAATTAAAATTAAAACTCGCTTCTTTTTTAAATAAGTAATAAAGCTTAAAAGAAAAAAAAAAAAAAGAAAAGTTTTATCGAGTTTTTCATAAATAATAACTAATCCATATATCCATACATACATATATATATAAACAAAACAAGGGAAAAACTTTTTCTTTTTTTTGCTTCATCGACTTTACTGAAGTAAATTTAATTTTTATAAAGTCAAAATGAAATTTTAACAAAAAAAAAAAAAAAAACAATTATGGAAAAGAATTTTCGAGACGTTGATAATGTTTCTAGATAAAGTTTATTGCTAAGGTTTCACGTTATTCTCAAAGGAATAATTACCTACGGTATATTTGAAACCTTTTGCGCTTTTAACTAAAAACAATTTGATATTATTGTGGTGATAATAGTAATATTCAAAACAAAATTTTTTTAAACGTATAGTTAATAACAATAAATTATGTGAATCGATTCGCGTCGTCCGTACATCTCTTGATAATAATAATTATTTGCCTTTTTTTTGTTGTTGTCTTACGAGTAAAATTTCCATATCGTTGGACATTAAATTCGGGTTGTAATTGGAAAAACATGGAGGAAAAATAAAAAATAAAAAAATAAAAAAGGTTTTACATATAAACGTGGTTCTCACGTCCGAAAATAAAATGTTAAAGTATATTTTACACACGTTCCTTAATAATTTTTATAAAAAAAAAAAAAAAAAGAAAATTCTGATAGGCGTGACGAAGTGAATTTAAAAAAAAAAATGGACACTAAATTTTTTTAAAAAATTTGATTATATATATATAAACTTAAGATTTTCATGGGCGAAACGTTTCCGACCGCAAACTTTATCGGTTTTCTTCCATCTTTTGTATTTAAACCAGAGACGACATTTTTGTTTAAATTTTAAATGAAATAACTAAAACCACTACTAAAAACAAGACTATTCTACCTTTCCTTAAAAAATAACGACACGTTTTTTATAATTTTATTAAAAGGAAAAAATAAAAAATTTGAAAATGTCACCAACACAATAAAATTTAGACTTGAGAGTAGAAAAAAATTAAATCAAAATATTATTATTATTATCATTATATACAAACTCAGTTCGATGAAAAAAATGAAAAATGAAAAAAAGTTATTGTTATTATTATTATTAATTTTTAGAGCATGAAAACGTTTTAGCGTGCGCGTTAAAATTTTATTTTGACAAAAACAAAAAGGTGACGAAACGCAGTTCAACGAATCGAGTTTTTCCTGTATTTTTATTTTACCTTTAACCAATTTTTGTGTGTTTGTCGTATGTTTGTTATTTTAAAAAAAAATTATCCTTATGACGTTCCATAAAATCAATTTTTCATTTTTTTCTATTAAATTATTTAGTAATAATAATTGTATTGATTTTAAAATTGTTTGTTTGTTTTTTTTTTTTAAATATTTCAAATGAATGAATGAATTGAATGAATGTTTTTTTTATTTTTCATAATAATAATAATAAGAAAAAAAAATGTTTTCCTCTGTAATTTCCACTTTTTTTTTTTTTTTTTTTTTTTTTTCTTAAAACTTGTTTGTCTCGAGATGTCTGTCCCCATTTAAAAAAAAAAAAAAAAAAAAAATTCATTATTCATTTTGGAAGGGTTTCATTTATTTAAATTTTAATATTCATTTGGCTCTCCTTAAAAATAAATTTATTTTGACTTTATTTTCGTTCCTAATTCCACGAAACTTACTTATGTAAATAAATAAAAAAAAAAAAAAAAGTAAATGGTTCATGAACCTTTTTTTTTTCCATCCTATGTATATATATATATATATATATATTTTTTTTTTTCTTTTACTTTTGATTAAAAGCTATTTGTTTGATCCATTGTTCTTTTAACCTTTTTCTTTTTTCCTTTTTCCTTTCCTTTGATACAAATAATTTTTTATTAAATTGATTCGGTTTTCTATACGGAATGCACGTTTTACTTTATATTTTCCTTTTAAATTAATTCTTTCTTTATTTCTTTCCTTTCTTTTTCCTTTTTTTTTGTTCAAATTTAAAATAATCTTATCGTAGAGTTTTTAAAAATAAAAAAAAAAGTTTTTTTCTTATTTTTTATTTTCTTTTATTTAATTAAATAATTTATTATTTTAAATGTTCTAAGGTATTTTTTGATTAATTTTTTTTTATTCATTAAATTATTATTATTATTATTATTATTAATATTTTCACTCATAATCACAAAACAATTCGCCTTAATGTTTGTCGAATTGTTTTTCAGCATTTATTCCAGGTTTCTATCCGATCCCTTAAGAATAAATGCTTGAATATCAGTGATGCTGCATGCCTAACTAATAGGTTTTTGCCTTGTTATAACCTATGACATGACAACAATTCTTGTAAGTCCCACTGAGACCGTCTTATGCGATGAAACGAGTTATCTCCTGTACTCCTGGGCTCCAGAGACTGACATCTGTGGAGTTGCCAGGAACAGGAGAAATGAGATTCACAATCTTATAGGGCTGACTAAGGTTGACAATAGAACAAGATTTGTCTTTTGGTTCTGTCTTTATCTTGTTCTCATTTTCCTTTATTACAATTATGAACCAGTTATAATATAACTTTTTCCCCAGAACTATTTCAATACTTAATTTTCCCACTATTTTCCCTCATGCATTCCATCTTTAATGTATTCACACAGTATACATATACAACTACAGTATACAAACTACAACACAGTATACAAATTACACTGCTAAACCTACAAACCTAATTAACCTGAGTTAAGGCAATTGAATTTTTCTAACCTTAAATGAAATTTAAAAAAAATTTTACACCAAACATATGGCAAAACATGTTACAATGAAACAAACTAACTTAAGAAAAGAGTTAAAGTAATGTACAATCAAAAGATCCACACTTAAAACAATAGTACAGAGATTTCACATCCACCTGATACAATAAATTAATTAATCACAAGTATTTTTATTAAACTACCTCTCTTTTTAATTAGTGTGACAGAAGGTATTTAGCTCAACTACTTATAATCAGCTCATATGAGATGTACAATCATAAAATGGTGTCTTTTGTGTCTTTTCATAATACCTTACACTAAAATCAATTATTATATAGGTAACCAATTCCCCCTGACTTTGATTTAGATTTATAGAGAGTATCACATCATCTCTATGATACACTATGTTGTAATGAGACAAACTAACTCAAGAAAAGGCCTAAAACAACCAACAATCAGTAAATTAACCCTTAAAGATTAGGGAGTATATAGAAATTTTACACTGAGCCAGTATGTCAAATCAATCATTATTAATGAATATTTTTATTAAATTACTTCAACACCTTGTTTTTTATGATGAGATGAAGAAGATATTTAGTCAAACTACTCATAATTAACTAAATAAATGTAAAATTAATTAAACAGATTTTTGGGTATTTGGCTTCATTTTTTTGTTAGCCTAACCTTTTTGCAAGTAAAATTAAAGTTTTAAAATGAGACACTCACCCATAATAATCAAATGTACCAAGGCATGTTCTAAGGTTTTTTATTGCTGACGCTTCCATTTGTTCCATGAACCCGTTGACTATTTTTTAAATTTAAACTTAAAACAATTATAATTATCACTAATTAATTTAAAAAACTAATTATATCACAATAAACTACACTAAATCACAAAACTTTTGATACATAACTTATAACTAAACTGTTAAATAAAACTATTAAAAATTAATAAAATAAATTGGCATGATGTAAACGCGCGCGTGTCAGCCATTGCACTACTGCGCCCTCCTTATTATATTTATGAACTTATTTATAAATGACGTAATAAAAAAAAATTTTATTCTTTTTACTAATATAATCGTTATTCGATTCGATAAAAAAAATTAATTTAATTATATTTAAAATATAAATGCACGGAAATTAAATTACTGGTAATAATAATAATAATAATAATAATAATAATAATAATAATTACTCTTTGTTTATTTTAGGGAAAAACTTCCTTACGGAGTATCAAATTGTGTCAGATATTCTTATTTAGAAGATATTTATAATAGAATTAAACAATCGGAAGGTAATTTTTTATATTTAATAATGTTATACTTAAATGAAACCCCTTCCCCCCCTATCAACCCACCACAGTTATACTGTAAATTATTATTATTATTTCTTTTCGTATAAAATATTAATTTTCAATCATTTATTCATCGACCTCTTCTTCATTTACTTATTATTATTAATTATAATTATTAAACCTTGTTTTTTTTTTTTCAATTTCAAAAAATTAATTATTAACGATAATTATACATGCGACGATTCAATTACAAAAAAAACAGATTCAAACGCCGAAGAAATATTCGATGAACTCGGTCGAGAATTGGTGGATTTAAGTTGCGATGGAAGAATCGAAAGAGCTTTTCGTAGTCTCGGAGGAAACATAATCGATTTTTTAACGACTCTCAACAGTGTCCACGATGTCCTACTATTAGATAACGAAAGTGATAACGAACAAGAAGGAAACGTGAACCGAGAACAAGACAATGATGACGTAGAAAATGACGAAATATTGGATTCCGATAAACCCGGATTCATAAGCACGACCGTATTACCGGAATCCAACGTATTAGAGCTTAATTTCACTTCTTACGGTCCGCCTTACGCCTACCTTCTTGTCGGAATATTAAAAGGAGTCGCTGAAAAACTTTATCAAACCGACATTAACGTCGATATTTCTACTCAGGATTTTATACACTTTAAGTAAGGGAATTAAAATATTTACAAAAAAAAAATGAATATTTTTCAGAGGAATTTTTTAAGAGTTTCTTTTTTTGCAAGATATACAATTACGCCATCCTCCGATTCGGGTGTTACCACACCGCACCAAAAACCTTCAACCGTTCCAGAAGATCTAAGCATGGGCGTATCAACGTTT